TTTCCAGTATGCAACCTGACACTGGAGCAGCAAGGTGGGGAACCAGACTGCACTTCCTCAGAGATGGAGTCTTGCTTCATGTAGTCTAAACAACTCATGGTGTCAGTGTAGGTGGAAAGGGTGTGGGTTATGCCACCTAGAGATCACGAGGGCACACTGCAGGGTTCTGAGAGGATTTGGGGCTGACTGAGTTCACCGCTGAACTCAGGAAAACGCCCACCTGCTGCTGCTGCATTATGTGTATGGTTTAAAGCAGTATATCCTGTTCTCACTGATAATCCGTTTGCTTTTTCCTCAATCCCTCATCTTGTGTAAGGGGAGAAAAAATTACAGTACTGTGATAGCCTGTCCTCGATTACTGGTTCTCAACCTTATTGGGTCCCTATAAGATTAGTTCAAATAACCCTCTGTAACCCCACCCACTCAACATGTTCTGAATTTGTTGTCATGGATTACAAACCTGACCTTATTCAACACTTTTAGTTACATAAAGGTGGATATTCTGTTAATGTGGGCAGCTTCCATTACTACTGCCTTTTTAAAAAAATAAGTAATCTTGGAAGTTGGGAAAATTGTGTGGATCCTGTGTGATCATGTGTTTTAAAGTCAGTAGAGTGTAAGAAATGCTATTTTTAGAATAGAATAGAATTCAACTTTATTATCATTGCACATGCACAGGTACAGGGCAACGAAATGCAGTTTGCATCCATCCAGAAGTGCTTTAGTGATATAGATATATTACAATATATATTAGCAATAGTATAGATATGTAAGTTTTATAAAACATTTAATACATTTTTTTTGTTTCTTGCTCTGTCAACAACTAAATAAGTCGTTAACCAACATTTTCCACCTTTCTCAGTTGTTTCTGGGTCTTAAGAGAGCATTCCTGCCACCTTTTCACAATCTGGACCACATGTTTTTTTAGATCAGTCTTAGCTTATAAAGAAGCTAGATGTTTCTAGATTATCAAGATTCAGTGTTGCTCCCTGCTAACAGATTTGTCAAATTACAGACGTTGTGCCTGACTGATATTTTCTCATAGATTTATATAGGAACTGAAATATTTTTGCAATTATAGTTATCGCCACCTGGGGGCTTTATGAAAAAAAACAAAAACAAAAACAAAACACACAAAAAACAGCCATGTCCATCTTTTATATACAGTATATGGTTCCAGCTGTCCTTTTAGCCTCATCAGAAATGGTGTTACTGGAAGGATGAATGTCAAGAAGCCATTCTAAAGGAAGGAAAACCGGGAGAAAGGCTGAGGTATGCCAAATTATTCAAGAACTGCACTGAAAATCACTGCACTGACGAAGTGATGGATCCAAACTTGAAATATGTACGGCTTTAGGAGAGAGGTACAACAGTGAGTATCTGGAGCCATTGTAGAACACGGTGAAAGCCCTTTCATGGTTTTGGGGCTTGATTTCAGCCAGTGATGGTGGGGATCTTGTCAGATTTTTAACCACCGTACAAAACCACCTGGAAAGCTTCTGGTTATCAACAGCTTGAATGATTTCAAACACTCTGCCAATGCAGTAAAAACATACCCGAATAGAAAAACACACAAGGGAACACCATCAGTCATGGATCGGCCTCCCCAGAGCCTGAACCTCAACATCATCTTAACAGACAACTGAAGAAAAGGCAGAAACATCCAAAGAAGAGCTCTGAATGTCCTTCAAGAAGCCTGGAGAACTATTCCTGGTGACTACTTAGTAACTGAGTTCAGGTTGTGTGGAAGAACAACGGAGGTCACACCAAATATTGACTTTTCAGTTTGTTAGCCATATATATTTGTGTTCCCTGTTCATGTAGTGACCCTTCAAGGTACCTGAGATATGATTCTTATTTCTCACCTTTGATTATTTATTCTATTCTCTAAAACAAATCGGGTCACACAGTGCTAACGGCATTTCCCGTTTCCTTCATTTATCCGAAACCCCAAAAAACCACAACGCTCCAACCTTATTGTTTGCTCACTCAGATCACTTCCAATGTCCTTTTCATCTCTGTTGTTGTACATGGAAGCAGAGAGTTATTGCTTGATGTAGTGTGATGCAATAACAGTGCTTTATCAGAAGAGGTGACGCGTGTTTTCGTGTCTCATGTCTTTCACCTCATTCGGCAGAGGTTATGTTTTTTTGGGGAGCTGGCGTTCTCCATTTGAAGGGGAGAGCGGTTGACCGCAGTTTGGCCGTTGGTGGTGTAGCGTGCAATTGAGCTCTGCTTGGCTAGTGGTCTAAAAGAATAGGGTTTAGTCGTTGTTTTTCCTCATGTGGTCTGGGGGTTTTTCCTCTCTCTTTTCTTTTTTCCCCCCCTCCTTCGTTCTCCACAATGGAGGCCCAGGCTGCACATGGGCAGAGGAGAGAAGCCTAGAGTTTTGACAGCACCCTATCCTACTGCCTGCACGGGAGACGAGGCAGGAAAAGTTGAGTGTTTACTGTGGTCTTCATCTGAGACGGGGCATATCCTCCCCTACACCGCACCACTGAGGACATCAATCTCTCCAACAACACACTTGACATTTAGATAGTCTTTGGAGGTACTTTATTACATGATGTCTTTTGCATGACCTCATCAGTCAGCGCCTTCCCATGCTTCACAAGCATTTGTTTTATATTCCCAGAAACACTTGCAGCCTTCCCTGTGCCCCCATCTCCACCTTTTCTTCTAGTTCAGATGTGGTTAACCGTAGATCCAGGTCTCAGGAACCGCAGCTCTCTCGGTCCAAGTGATTCATTACATCCGTGGTGTTGCTGAGCTGCTTTTGCGATCATACATCTTATTTAGCTGCTGGAGCCATACTCTAATTAAGATTGGTCCTAATCCTCCAGAGCTCTCTGTTTCATTTGCATAAGGTAGGATGCTGTTCAACTTTTCTCCGCCACGCTTCCCCAGCTGACGTGCGTTTCGCCGCCCTACGCTGTATTCCACAGAAAACGAATGGCAGCGTGCCGCCCACAGCGAAACATTTGCTGTAATGCAAGTGGAGCATAACACCAACTCAGGCGAGGGTGCTTAGCCCCCTACCTCCATTCCACTCCAACCCACCTTCCTCTGCCCCTGCTGTCATAGCTCAATGTAATTTGACGCTGGCGTTTTTTCTGTAAGAGTCCAGTATAAGTCTGTCTGTCTTTGAAGCTTGAAGGCCCAAATCTGAGAAAAGAGCCCATTTTCCCTGGAAAAGGATGAAGACAGCTGTACCCTGCTGCAGATTAGAGGAAACCATGAACTTCAGTGAAAAGACGCCACCCATTATTTACTCACCAGCCTTTTACTGTGAAAGCCAGGCATGTTTCCACAAAGCTGCAGATTTATTGAAAAATAAAGGCACTCCAACACGATTCACCAGTCTGGCATTAGTGGGTATCTTTGCTGCTGTGATCTTTATAGCAACAACAACCAGCAACTCACAAATACAGCTAACCGAATTTCATGCTGAAGACCAGAGATGGGCAGTAACGCGTTACTGTAATCCGATTACTTTTTCAAGTAACGAGTAAAGTAAGGGATTACTATTGCAAAAACGGTAATTAGATTACTGTTACTTTCCCGTAAGCACGCTGCATTACTGCGTTACTAAAACCGTGATTTTTTTTTTTTGCGAGAGTGTCTCATGACAATGACAATAAGCGAGTGCGACTTTCGTGACAACAGCTGTGTGCAGATCAACAATGGATAATATATCGAGTGCGGGAGAGAGTATGAGCGTGCAGCGTTTAAAGCGTGGAAGTAGAGCAGGGCGATATGGCCAAAAATATTTATCACGATATATATTTGAAAATTTGCGATAACGATATAACCGACGATATAATTGATGCGAGACAAAATACAACTCCACAACATTACTAGCGCAAAAAGACAACCTTCCATTTATTTTCACTTAAACAAGAAGCTGGTTTTTATGTACATTAAAGCTTTATAAAAATGTAACAGTGCAAATGAAAATTCCTTGCTGAAAGTTTAACCAAAAGGCATTTCCAGTAGAAATGGGCTGACATATCCTGAGCATAACCATGTATAATATCCACTGAAGTTAAAAAGAGGTGCTTTGCAACATTAAACTGCAGTGTGCAGCATGTTCTGCAAAAAAATGTGCTTTGTTGTGTATCTGACGGACAAACACCAAACCAGTTCCACATCACGGAAGTTGCACCATTTTTACAAACCAATTCTGGTTCATCTGTTTCACTCAACAATCGGCCATGTGCATATGAAAACAAAGGCACTGCGCATGCGCGTTTTACTCCCATTCTATCACGATATTTCATTTTCCTATCGTTGCCTAACATTATACCGGTATTACCGTGAACGGTATAATATGGCCCAGCCCTACGTGGAAGTACTGACCTTTAAGTTTGATTCCATAAAAAGTGACAAAAACATTAGTGTCCGCTGTTCACTGTGTGGGAAGAAAAATTCTTTTTACAGTGAAAAAAACCCTAAACTTCCGAGCAAGCACGGACAGTACACTGCCACGGGAATATGAAACTCCCAGATCCTTCCACTGACCGCTACGACACACCTGCACCAGGGCAAACCTCCGTCTGCCCCACTCCTGCTATACAGGTGAAAATAGAGCAACAGGACTGCTGAGTCTTTGATTTTATTTATGTTCTGCTGTGTTTTACCTGCATTTATTTGAAAGAGTGAGTGTAAACACAAAAACAAATTTTATTTTATGTGCTGGTATATGCAGAAAATAGGTTTAAATGTTAAACAAATTCCTTCCAGTCAGAGAATGTTGCATATAATTTAATGTTTGCTTCATGCGTAAAGTTAAAAGATTAAAACTAATAAAACAAGTTTTAAAAAGAGACTTTTTCATTTGATTACATTTTATATGATGGGTTATGCAGAAAAAAATAGAATTGGGCTGAAAGATCGATCGCTTTATTACCTATTCAGGTTGTAAATCATTTTTTTAAAAAGTAACTAAGTAACTAATTACTTTTGAAAATAAGTAATCAGTAAAGTAACGGGATTACTTTTGGGGGGAAGTAATCAGTAATTAGTTACTGATTACTTTTTTCAAGTAACTTGACCAACACTGCAGAAGACAACAAGAGTCAAATCAACAGGAACAATATCCATCCATCCATTTCCTTTCACACTTCCAAAGAGGTTATAGTAGCGGCAGGCAGACCGAGGTATTCTGAACGTCCTTCTGCCCAGATGTTTTTTCCCTGTGTCTTCTGAGAGATTCTGAGACACCATCAGCCCAGATGAGATATATGGTCATCAGCCACTTTATTGGTTAAATCTGTTCCACTGCTTATTAACATGAATATCTAATCAACCAATCACATGGAGGCAACTCAGTGCATTTAGTTAGTTAGATATGGTCAGACCAAGCATTAGGATGGTGAAGAAGGTGATTTGGAACGTGTCATGGTTGTTGGTCTGAGTATTTAAGAAACTGCTGTTCTGCGATCTCTAGGGTTTACAGAGAATGGGTCTGAAAAAGAGAAAATATATGAGTAAGTAGCAGGTCTTTGTGCAAAACGGCCTTGCTGATGTCAGAGGACAATGGCCAGACTGCTGCAAGCTGATAGGACAAAAAAACAAAACAAAAAACCGACAGTAACTCAAATAACTACTCACTACAACCATGGAATGCAGAAAAGTATATCTGAACGAACTGCACGCGCATCAGGTGGCCTGCAGCAGAAGACCACACTGGGTACCCCTCCTCTGAGCAAAAAACAGGAAACTGAGGCTGCAACCCACATAGGCTCACCAACATTAGACGATAGATTAGAAAAACGTTGGTCTGTCCCAGATTCTGCTCTGACATTCAGATGGAAGGGTTAGAATTTGGTAAAACCAACATGACCCATGTTGGTTTTACCAACCAACCAACTTGGATTCTATCCTGTCTGATATTAACTTATCAGGCCAGTGGTGATTGTGTAATGGTGTGGGGGTATATCTATTTGGAACACTTGTGGTTCTTTACTACCAATTGAGCATTGTTTAAACGCCATAGTGTGCCTTTCTTCCGATGGCTACTTCCAGCGGGATAATGCACCATGTCCATGACAGTGAGTTCACTGTACTCTAATAGCCTCCACAGTCACCAGATTTCCATCCAAAAGAGCTTCTTTGGGATGCTGTGGAATGAGAGAATGACATCATGGATCTACAGCTGACAAATCTGCAGCAACTGTGTGATGAATCTATGCCATGAAGAATTAAGGCAGTTCTTAAGGTAAAAGGGAGTCCAACCCTGTGCTAGCAAGGTTTATCTAATAGTCTCTCCAGTGAATTCTGGGACTACCAGGGGCATGTCTAGAGAACTTTCCAGGGAGGCATTCTGATCAGTCCAGACAGCTTGCAGCCAGCAGTAACCCATTTCGACCTTGTTTACTTGTGTTCATGAGTCTGGATAAATGACCAAGTGAAGGCTGGAATGTAGACAACTGATAAATCAAGAGCTTAACCTTTAGGCTCTCTTTAACACAACATCTGCATGCAGTTTCATGCTCCACCCTCCCGTCACTCAAGACAAGATGATGGTGCAAGTTGAGGGAGTTTGATAACTACTGCAAACATACACAGCTGCAGCAAACACAGAACCATATCTCATCCAAATATTGGATCATTGCATGCCTTAATAGGAATAAGAAAACTCAGGGCATTATATTTGCAAAGGTCAAGGCTGTGTGTGCCATTATGCTTTTGCATTTAGCACTACAGAGAAAGAAACCTTTGGAAGGTCAATTCGTTCTAATGTTATGTAAGGGCTAAGGGTGGCTCAAAATCCGATGCTATTTTTAGGCGCCTGCTCTAAAGCCCCATCTTTGCTGTTAATTAAGAGGTAGTGGATTTTGTTTTTGGATTTTAGGCCAAGAACAGTTCACGTGTCAAACTGAATCAATCCGTAGCACAACTAATTAGAAATGATTAGAGCCCTGTGTTTTTTTACCTCCTACACAATAATGAGACAGTTATACAGGTTTTGGCAATTAATTCTCACAGCACTTGCGAACACAGTGTCAGTTCCAATACTCTGGAAACAAAGTGGGTCAAACTGGGTCAAACAAGGTGCCTCACTCTGAGATCGCTCTGCATTTTGTTGGTGTCCATTTTAATCTTTGTTGTCCACGTGAATTCATGTCTGCAGGGTGTGGGACCTGGATGGGAATGAAAGCGCTACTTTCCGGCTTCAGTCTCCTGGCATCAGTGTGTGCTGGCACCCAAAGGAAGTCTTTAAGGTAGGAGTTGCCTACTCTAAATCTGAGGTAAAACACCTGAGTAGTATACATGGTTTACAGTTGGAGGGTCAGGTGTGAGGTCAACTTTATGGATGCCCTCACTCCTCCGAGACATCCTCATTGTTATCAGAAACACTTGAAGTTCACGTGGGTGGTTAGATAAGCCAAATAAAAGATTCTGCCCAACATTCAAATATAGATTTTGTTGTGAAATATCTTGATGTGGTGCCCAAAGCACACATGTGGGTAAAAGCCTGCTGAAGTGTACAGAGGAGGGTGAGAAACAAAAAAATATAGTTTTTAAATCCTTTCATAATGTTGCAGAGTCCAACAGAGTTTAATCATGCTTAATTTCTACTTTCTATACTGTTGCATGCTGGGACATGCTCTAATCTGTAGTTTAACTGATATATTGCACATCATATACATAAATCAGTATATATTTCACTGAAGCTCCACATCTCTAAACCACTGTCTCTGTAAATATGGTTTCTACTGCATAAAGTTAATAGGGTCAACAATAAAAATACAATAAATTATACACTAAAAACCATAAATCTGAATTAGAAAGAAGAACTCTCACATAATAATAGAAGTCAGCTTTGTTTGCACAAAAACAAACGCCAGGATGTCCTGCTCAAGTAGATCTGAAAGCAAGTGAGATTAAACTACTGAATGATTGGGCAGCTCTTATGTGAAAAAATAGGTTGTTCCACAGATTAGGAGCCACCACCGAAAAGGTCCTATCGCCTCTGCCTTTGAGCCTGGAAGTAGTAACATCCAAGAACAATTGGTTCCTAGACCTCAGTGCTTTGGTAGGCGTGTAGAGCTTCTACGCCAAAACACTAAGACTCTTAAAAACAAGTAATAAAATTTTAAACTGGATCCCGAGATGGACTGGAAACCAGTATAGGGAGGCCAATACAGGTGTGATGTGGTCATGCCATTTCTTTACTGTCAGAAAGCGAGTTGCTCCACTTTGTAGAGCCTGCAGGCTACGAAGTAACGACTTAACAAAGCCAACGTACAAAGAATTAAAGCACTCTAATCAAGAGGTATTAAAGGTGAGAATTACTCTCAAAGTCATGTTGAAGGAGATTGGCCTTCACCTCACTGAAGAGATGTAATTGAAAAAAGCTCATCTTAATTGTTTCCCTGATAAAGACGTTTCACAACCTTCACGGTACCCTTACTGATGAGTTTTGATGCCTCAGTGTTTGATGCCCATACTGTAAAATATGTCCACTGGCATTTATGTGACCATGAAAAAAATAAGTACCATCATTTTTAGGAAATCTCTATGAACCGACAGGATATTTGGTACCAGTTGTTTTCTGTTCATATAACCTTGATACAGAGGTTTAGTTGTGCTCCAGGACCCACCATGCATCCGTGTCATCTTTGCTACCTTTGTTGCAACCAAAACGAGCACCACTTTCAGAATAAAGCATGAATTTGGTGCAGAAGTACAAAGTGTTGTGAAATCCTTGCTACATTCATTACGTCCTGTGCTCTCTAGTTAATGGTGGCAGAGAAGAAGGGGACGATTCGCTTTTATGACATGGTCACCCAGCAGGCCATCCTGTCACTGGAGAGCGAACTGCTCATGTCAGCAGACTGGTGCCTTACCAACACGATCAAAGTAGGCGGGGTGTCGGGCAGCGACTGGCTGATCTGGGATATAACTCGATCCAGGTGAGAGGATGTGTGGTGCTGATGTTGCTCGAGGTATTGCTTTGGGATGTGTCTAAGTCACGTTTTTTGTTGTTTGCAGTTACCCACAAGAAAAAAGACCAGCTCACATCGATAAAGCACGGCTGTTTAGGTGAGGAAAGTTCTTCCATAAGCCTTATTGCTTCGGTTCATACCTGCTCAGGTTTCTCCTTTAAATCTGGTCAGTCTGTGATTCGCTAAAAAATATTTTAATTTTATTGAAATTGAAAGATTTGGAGTTTTCTTTTTGGTCTTTTACAAAGACCTGAATTGGTTGGCATCACAGAAGAAACTTTCATAACTTAACACAAGTCAGTTTCAGGAGGATGATTTTATATTTCAGACAGTAATTCTCCAATTGTGTGAAGGCTTTCAGGACATTGTTCTTCTCTCCAGGTGGTCTCGAGCCAATGAAAACCTCTTTGCCACAACGGGATGTCCAGGAAAGATCAACACTCAGCTGATCATCCACCATCTCGGCCACCCGCAGGTCTGTGTGTGCTTTCCATAGTTGTTATGGGTTTTGTTTTTAATTAAATTTAATGTGCTTTCCATCAGCTCACGTCACACACCTCATGTCATTACAGCCGGTGGCGATCGGGTCGGTGACCGTCGGATCAGGCCTCAGTTGGCACCGGACGCTGCCGCTCTGTGTGGTCGGCGGCGACAGGAAGCTTTGCTTTTGGATGACTGAGATGTAGACATCTGTTGTGGAAACCTGCGTCCTGTTTCTGTTTGTGCTCAATAAAATATTTTTCCAAGTATTCGTGCAGTTTGTGTGGAATTTGATGGGAATTGGCTGCATGCTCGAGCTTTGTTCTTCTCATTTCTGACCACCCCTTCAGGTCAGCTACAGATAAACAGCAGGATTGTCTGGTTTATGCCGAGAACTTGTTTTTCATTTCTCAAAGGAATGACTTACATCAGTTGTCTGTTATGTCCTGCCAAGAGAGCCGTAGCTCAAAGGAACGTGTCCGAGTGCCAACTCTACACTTCACCAGTCAACATTGTCCTCGTACAGGTGTTTTCTCTCCCTCTTGGCTTCTGAATTTTCTTACTATCCACGGCGGACCTTGAATCATATCACGAAAAGTGTAAGCACGGGAAAAGCTCAGGGAGGCTCTCAAGTCTGAGGTCATTTCAGGTTATCTTCAGCTTCAAACTGAGCAGTTGCGTGAGGATTTAGGAAGAGGAGCAGATGTGCCTCACCTGACCTTGATGAAGACTCGGGATGACTTGGCAGCTGCTCGCAGTAGAACAAAGACTCATTGTACCATCACAGGAATGCCTGCGAGTTTTCAAAGCGGTTGTACGGTCGCTCAACTGCAGCGGGTGCTGGTGTAATTAAACTGAACGTGAATCATTCGGGGTGGCAGGTGATCACTTCAGCTTCCACCTCAATGCACAAGCTTTATTTCAACGTAAACGTCAGCTTAAACACTGGGTTATATTGGACGCCGACGTCGGTGTGACAGAGCAGGAGCGAGCACCACTCTTTCAAACCAGTCCATCAGCCTCCTATATTTCTTGGACAGGAGGCGCTGACCACCATCCACAAAGCATAACATGCTACTGCTCTCCCGGTCCACTTTTTTTGTTTGAACAAGTCCAATGTGGTCGCAGCTCTCTGGGTTTTGCCGTGCTTTAGGTGCAAGCGGTGTTGGAGCAGCTGCGTATACAAGACCGATTCCAAAAAAAAGTGGAGCGGCTGTGTGAAATGCAAATAAAAACAAAATGATTTGAAAATCATTTAAAGCCTGCGTTAAACTGAATATTCTGCAAAGCCAACGTATAAAAAGATCAAAGCTGAGCAGTGTCACCTTCCCATTGTGTTGCATCACGTCTTACTTTAACAAATTCAGCTGCTCAGCAGTTCGGGCCTCCTTTTGTTATATGTTTGTATCATAACGTGCCAAATATCTTTAATGGAGGACAAGTTTGGACTGGAGACAGGCCAGTTTGGCACCTGGACTCTCTCAGTCCAGAGCCGTGCTGTCAGAGTACGTGCACAAAGCGGTTTGGCATCATCTCACAAAGTAAGCAAGCCCTGTGATACCTGCACATATCCTTCATTATCTATATCCTGTTCACTAACGGCCTCTGAAACAGTCTGGGCAGTAGCGTTTCTGGATTTTATTCGTGTTTATATTTGCTGGGTTTGCAGAGTTTGTAGATGCAGGGGAGAACTGTGTGCACCAGTGATGGTTTTCAGGGGTGTTTCTGAAACCGCTGCAAACTTATCAGGTCACATTATTTTGAACTCCAATCCGCAAATCGGCTTCTCTGAGACGTTCACTTTTAATACACGATCATGTTTACCTCATTATTAATAAGATGGATATATTTTCAGATCTTTGAAAAATGTATTTGTACTTAAATTTTTTATTCATTTAACTGTTGTTATTCAGGAAAACGCGACTCTTTTGATGTCATGGCCAATATGACCCAGTAATACACACAAATACTGCAAAATATGAAGTAAATAAAGAGACTTCTGCTTCTTTCTTCAGCTTCTCCCTTTTGTGGTCATGTCAGCAACAGATCATCTGCTTCCATCTTACTCTATCCCCTGGATCCTCTTTCACACCAACCCTCTGCGTGTCCTCTTTCACTAAATCTTCTCTGTTGCCTTCCTCCTTTCCTCCTCCCTTGCATCTTCAGCATCCTTTGTCCAGCATGTCCACCATCCCTCCTATGCACATGTCAGCCTTGCCCCTCTTACTTTGTCTGCAAACGGTTCCCTCTGATCTACTAACTCTGTCCATTCTGATCACTCCCAATGAAGATCTTAACATCTAAAGCTTGGCCTCTTGTCTTTTTATCAGTACCACCGTCTCCAAAAGGCACATCGTAGCAGGTGTCACTACTATCTTGTGAGCCTTGTCTTTCTGTCACAAATCACTGAATCCTGCCTGGACTCGTCCCCTCCCCACTCGTACGCTTTCACTTCCATCTTCATCGTCACAAATGCCTCCCTCTCATTTCAGGCACCCGGAGCATGAGAAAAAGTTGTCACAGTCGTCTTGGACCAAACGGGGAGTAGCAATGCTCAGGCGTCTACATTTACAGCCTAAAATAAGGGTCCCAGATGTTTTAAAATTACTTCAAGGCCATTTAGTGAGACAGTGCATATGATTTAGTGGATTTTTTTTTTTTTTTTAATTAAGTTTGAAGCCTTTCTTTCCAATTCAGTGCTGGCTTCTTTTTGAAAGGAACTGACTTCCTTTACTCATGTCACATATGTAAGTCAGTAACAGACCGAGAGTAGTCCTGTAAAGAAGGATAAACTAGTGGTTTAAGATGCCCTTTCATGTGTGCACATTCCGCCTGCTGCAATCACAAACACGAGTCTCAATCCTGAGCGGGTTTACAAATCCTGTGACTCAAGGTGGCCATCTGATGGCTACCTGACAGAACAGCAGGGAGGCTTAATCTTGTTCATGAGCTGTGTGGACTTCTCTTTGCTGAAAGCAGTCCTCAGATGTCACTCAGATGACCCCGGCGTTACCTTTTGATGTAACCTGAATGAAGCTTGATCTCTTGCGGTGGCGGTGCTGTGTGGACTAATAACAAACTGTGAAACGATGAAAGCGAGATCAGGCCGTCTTCAAATCTTCACAAACTTCTTTCTAATCTCCTGCCCCCAGATAATTCTTCTGCGGCCCTGCCAACTTTAAGCCGGGGGCTCAACACAAAGAGAGCAAAATAAAAATAATGAGGAGCATGATAGGGCAGGAAACAAAGAGAGAGATTAGAGCTCTTTGAGGCTGGTGTTTGATTTAATCTTGTGGTTGGCCTGGTTTGTTTGCGATGCTTTCCCAGAATGAAGCGATTATGCTGATCTTGATGGAGTAAGGAGAAAGAGTCAGTGAAAAAGGGTCCCATCACTGCTTTAGGGTGGTGTTGGCTGATCATCTGAAGTGTTGATGCAGCCAGTATGCACTTTATGGAAGCTGTGTGTCAACAGTTTATCCTTTTATAAGGTCTATATTGTACCTGCACCCGATTTAAAGTTTTATGAGCACGTTTGAACGAAAGAGCAAACTCAGCTGGGTGCTTTTGCACTTCTGAGTTTACTCACTGAACCTTGACATCTCATCATCTGAAATCAAACAAAAAAAAAAAAACTGTTGATGAAACATTTCTGGCATGATGGGAGTGGTCTCTTCAAAGCCTGAATAAAGGACAATGGAAACAGAAATGGCACTGGGAGGTTAGATGGTTGACTGTCAAAGGCCCAGGAATACTTAAAACCACCTACCCATCCACTGGCATCGGCTAGACCCTTAGTTTGGTAGCATCATTTGCAGGGAGGAGTTAACTATGTGGGTATGAATGGTTGTCATCTTTCTGTGTTAGCCCTGCTTCACATTGGTGACCTGTCCAGGATGAATCCTGCCTCTCGCTCTATGGCAGCTGGGGTAGCCCACCCATGACCCTAATAAGGATAAGTGGAAGAGAAAGGAAGGATGGATGGATAAACCAAACAGAAAAACTGGGACGCCTCTGGCTGTTCATCATCTAATAATGAGTATGTAATTTATTAAATCTGTTCTAACTCATTAATTTAATTGTTCTGAAAATCCATATATTTGGATCCAACTGGGCTGTATTTGAAATAATATGACTTTGGCTTTGAGAATCGGTGCCAGCAGCCTCTGGAGCTGCTGTGCCAGGTTGTAAATGTGCTTTTTAATTCTGCTTAGTTAGATATTTTAACACAGGACAAAAAGTTAATACCATGCAGTAGTTGCATATTGCTGCTCTGGAGCTGGAAAGACAAATTCAACTGACTGCCTGAGATCACACTGAACTTTCCTTCTCCATCATAAATTTACCATAAGCTGGAGTCCTGGTCTTCCAGGTAAGTCCAGCCAATCACCGATGAATGTCTTATTTCCTTACTTCTGTTCTGTCTCTTGTTCTCTCTGTTTAACTTCAGCATCAGTGAAGCTGCTGTAAAAACCACACTTCTCTAAAGTTGACTTTGTTTGAATTCCAGATGTTGCAGATGCTTCCAGGGCTTCACCTAATGATGGCTGGCAGATGTTTGTCTGTGTTTAACATATTAACTAACTGAAGTGAACAAAAAAGGAACCGCTAATCAGCTTCAGAGGTGTGTTGTTTTGCTTTGCCTTCCCTCACCTGACTTCAGCTCCTCACGCACAGGTATAGTATAGTGACTCAGATAAAATGTCTCTTAAAATGTTTAACTATTCCTTTTATCTATCTATTTATCTATAAGGCTTTCCCAAGTGATTCTTAAGAGTATTTAATTCATGAAATACTCTTACAACACCTTGTGGCTGGGGCAGTGCTGGGGGCACGTCCCGATGTGGGATTTTGTGAGACACATAGATTATAACTGATCAGTGAATGTCATTTTACTACTTGAGTACACATCATAGACCAAACAAGTTTGTATAGATATGTATTTTACTAATACTGTCCACTATGACATGAGCTCCTGGATCCATGTTTAGAATCACCAGTTAACCTATCCATGTCTGTATAGAAGAAGAAGAGTAGCTGAAAGGTATATCGTCAAGAAAAAGGAAAAAAGATCAGAGAGATGTGGGATTTTGTGAGACATATACATTATACATTCATCTGATCCATCTGCTGTTCCCTGATGCCTCATCAGAGTAGGATGGCTGAAAAGAACGAGGTATACAAACTTACACAAGAACTGGCCTGATGGAGTGATGAAGAGCCTTGGGGAGACTGTTGTTGTGATTTGGCACTGTATAAATAAAATTGAATT